GACAGAGAGACAGATAGCAAGAAATCACCCCCCAGGGGGGATGGCCACACCGCGATCCCTTCTCCTCTGTCTCCTCTCGGGATCTTGGGCACGCACGCATACGTGCCCAGTGTGAATTTAAGCCACCAGGTCCAGGACTCGAACTGTGGTTGACTACATGGAAGTCCAGCTACATAGCTATTACGCCAACTGCTAGTCCCAGAGAAGAGATTTTTGCTCAAGGACCTGTGCACTTACCAGAAAGATGGAGAGAGACAGAGTGAGACCCCCCCACCCCCAGGGAGATGGCCACAGCAGTCCCTTCTCCCCCATTCTCCTCTCTGGATTTTGGGCACGCACGGACACATGCCTGGTGTGAGTTTCAAGCCACTGGGTCCAGGACTCAACCACAGTTGACCATGTGGGAGTCCAGTGACATAACCATTATGCCACCTGCTGGTCCCCAAATAAATAATGCTTAAAAACAGAACAGAACAGTGTCGGGGGCTGGCGCTACTACCTGGGGGTTCATGGAGCTGTATCCCACCCGGCTCAGTGCCCTTGAAAACACGTGAGTGAGCGAGTGAGCGGAGGGCCGGGATCTCACCAGGACTGGGAGGTGGAGGGGGGAGCGCAGCTGGCGTTGCTTTCTCCTTCGTTTTGGTGATTACAAATAAGCACGCAGACACTGTCTCTATTAACTTGTAGAATTGTTCAAAATAAATAAATAAGTCAGGCTGGCAGGTGGCGCGGTGGTTGGGACCACGTGGCCAACTGCGGTTCAAGTCCCAGACCTGGTGGCTTGCTCTCTCTTTCTCTCTCTCCTTCTCTCTGTCTTTCTCTGGAGAGTGCATGTGCCCGCCCTGTAGCAAACGTTTAAAATAAGAACAATAATGAATACAATGAAATAATTTAAAATAAATAAGTAGATAGAACAAGCAGGCGGCATGGTGAGAGCAGCTAAATCCCACATGGCCGGCCACACACTTCCAGTCCTGACCTCTGCGCTTCAGGAACATGCCAGAACACGCCAGAATCCCGAAAGAAATGGGGAAGGGACTGCGGTGTGGCCATCCACATGGAGGGCACTTTCTCTCTCTCCCTCTCTCTCTCCCTCTCTCTCTCCCTCTCCTCCTCCGT